GTTTAACCTTGATATTTCAGCATATAGTGGTTAGTTGGCTGCAAAAACTTTTAATAACTAGCACATGGGGTTGGAAACAGGTTTGAGTATATCTGTAAGTGTTATTTTACTTGATGCTTCATAAATGTGACCAAATGGGAGAACAATCTTTCCCTCATTGCCAGTTCTGTAATCAGTTAATTTAAAATGAACCAAAATGTTTTCTCCATCCCTTACATTTGGTTGCTGATTCTGAAGTAACTTTTCAGCATTAAAACAATAAATGAAAAAAACAAAGTCATTGACTCTGACAGAGAGTGCAGGGATGTGCACCAAGGCAAAATGTGTGTTTGCAAAATGCCAAGCTGTTTCTTTAAGTGGTTTCCCATAGGCTAACCTTTAGCTAACTTTGACTTCATCCAAAAAGTAATTGGTCAGCTTGGGCTGCTTCCACTATATCTTCTCCTCCACATTTCCTGTGCCAGTGAAGTTTATGAAAACCACATCAAGCACAATGATAAAGGGCTCATAATGTTCTCTTCTTGCAAAGAACAGATCTAATTACTTGATGCTATCTGTTATTAAACATTTTGCAATAAACCTCATTTTATTAACTTTAACTGCTTTTCATTTGATCACCATTCTAAAGATCGGCTTCTGAAGTTACACAAATAAAATGCATCTAGGCAATGAAAGTTTCTTTCCTAAAACAACTTTACATTTTTTAGCTGTTTAATAATGCCACATGAACAAAGCCTGCCAGCTCAAAATCTACAGACACAAATGTAGATATTAATTAATAGATAACACTGTTGCTTTCCCTTCCTTTGTTTCCTTGAGATGCTAAGGAACAGAAAGTAATGAGAGTTCACCAGTGACGTGCAGTGAGGTTGACAGCTGGTGAGGCACTAACTCTTTTACAGTCAGATATACAAATACAAATTGTCTGTTAACAGACAATGCGTTATGTTTTATATCTCATATCAGCATTCTTCACACAAACGTGACCCATATTTAATTTGAGGTTAAAATTTATTCCAGTTGAGCTTATTTCTAACTAGAAATAATAAAAGTTTATGGTCTTACCTTTACTTGTACA